AACATCATTTTCACATTTCAGTTGTTGGATGAATGTCGTGAGGCATGTGCCTTCTGCCATCAGGTGTAGTAGTCTACCAGATTCAGCACATTTCACAGTAAACTTTGAGGTGACCTTGGTAACAATGTTTTTGATTTTTGCATGTTGCAGGAACCACACTTATAGGTGGTTGATGTTGGATCACACATGGAATGGTTGATGTTGGCGTTAGCCCACGTCACGGAATGCCCACATAGTGTGGCTGTTTGGAATATTGCTAACAAACTCGTCAACCAGGATCAGTCACATGGAATGTAGTTTTCTGCGTGTGTTTTTCATAATGCGTTAACAGTTTCAATACTTCCTGTTGTTGCTGGAAGTATTTCATCCAGTTCCACACTGCATGGAACTTCAACCTTTTCACCTCTGTTGTTGAGGTGGTAGTTAAGAAGCGTTCGGATCCATACTCTTTGACAATGACATTTGAAAAGTGGAAAGAGTCTCCGACACTGGCCAAGTCCTTTAATTTGTCCCACAAAACCAGTGGCATACATCCGGTGTTGTCACACACCAAGATCTTCTTCATTTGCTTCATGCTGCCATACAATAGACATTCTTTCTCAATGAGGAAGCACCCAACTTTGGCTGTTATGTTGATCTAAAAAAAATAGAGGCATTTTATTACAATGCATCAATCACTGGCACAGACCAGTAATAATCATGTTTCTATGGTACTTGCAAAAATGTGTGATAAAATCTGTCTTTGTTTTATGTTCATGTATTTAAAAAATTATCAAAACGTACCAGCTTTGATAAAAATAGATAATGTTATTAATTATATGCAGCCCTAGGCAACACAGATTGCATGGTTTACCAAATATTTATAGCTGGTTAAATTCTCTTGTGTCTCTTTTGTAATTATGTTTTACAAATATGAGATTATTTGCAACTGGTTATTAAATGTATGTATTCACTTTTATGAGATATGTTGTGATATGCTATGAACAAAACCAGAAGTAGCCTCTTTAGAACTACTTTTGTTGTACTGCCCTCAGTTATTGAATGCAAAACATTTCATAATCATTAAGGTATTATAAAATAGTGAGACATGTTAAAACTGAAACAAATGCTAGACAGGGACATAAATACTGTTTAAGATATGTTTAATGTTCCGGTTATAATTTTATCCTCCACATGTGGATGGAAACAATCACAAAAATATATTTTGGACTACATTGGTGTATGGAATGAAAGGTAATTTGAGCTACCCTATCATATCATAATGAAGCTGGTCAACTTAAATTTCAGTTCACTTTGAAAGAAATCATATATACACATTGTTATTCTTTCAGAAATAATGAGAATTCATACAGGTCAACTTGCTATGAGTCCCCAGACACAGAGGCCGCTTTAGCGTGCCAGGCAGTAGTCACGTCCAAAATGAGACATAATTTTAGGAACTTACCTGACTTATGATTCATATATTAAATCCATCACATTTCACAATAGGTCTGAAAACACTTATTCAATTTCAATTGATCATATATTGTCGTGCTAGAATTAAAATTATAAACTATTTTTCAGCAATGTTATTGAAAACAACGATTCTCGACACATGCTTCTCGCAGTGGGTCCACAATAACATTGTCAAAGAGCAAAGTAACGATGTTTCGAGGAAATTATTAAATAAATTGAATAAACTAATGAATAAAATCAACAGCAGCATTCATAAAAGTGCTGTCAAACGCATATTATAAAATTACTATTTCCATCTTTTTGTGCATCATCATGTAATGTGTCAAAGTCACTGACATGTGACATCTCGCTCAAATCTTCACCGATCACGCATGTTTAATGAAAACATATGCATGAAGCATTTTGTCGCAGGTCATAACCTAGCACGATATCCAATAAGTCCCATAATTTTGATATGTAGCTTATTTCTTGCTTAATATGTTCAGAATAGCATTATTTTACCCAAAACTTTCTGTCTATATTCAAAGGTTTTCGCTTTACTTAGGACGTATCCATTGCCATAATATGATTGGCTGCCTTAGGTCACGCGGTCTGGTTTTGACCAATCACGACCCTTATAGCAGACTGTGCCAAAAAGCGTCATTAGAAACCAATTTTGTATCCAATAAAATCGCTTCTTACAACTGTGAAAAATACTTTTGGCAAGGGTACAGTGATATTGTTGATGTTCAGAGCTTCTAATCCATACCCGACATCAAACGATTTGCCCTCGGCGATGTTATTCATACAAAGCTGAAAACCGAGGTATTTTCCGCTAAGCTAAAGTCCTGTTACTGAGCCGGAAAGCCACCGATATCGGGAAATAAGCAACCATACATATTATTTAAGAAATCTTTTAATAATAATTTTCTGATTACGAAAAATGAAAACCACCGCCAACACTCACCTCCAAAAATAGGGTTGAACCCATACTGAAGGGGAGTGACAGTAATGCCTGCTGCCGTGTGGCCGGTGAATACCAAGCAACCAAAGACGACGTCGGAGGCCCATAACTGCACTCATCATCTGGCTTGTGCACGGTACATTATGGCGCCGCAGGCCAGATGTAATGACAAGTCATCGCCCACGCCACCCAGGTCCACCATCAGCTGCCTCTGCAGGGCAGAGTTGTAGGCTGAGTGGACAATAACCGTGAGTTGCTGAACGGCGCGCTACGGCTCAGGGAGATCAAACCGGTAAAGCTACCCGAGAGGAGAGGGATTGATAACTCGCCGATAAGAGATGGGAGGATATGCAGCTGAGTCTCAGCAACCCGCCGGGAAGACAAAACTCTGTAGGGTCTGTAGAGTGGACAACCACCTGAGGTAAGATGGTGGCGATCCTATCGCGCACCTTCTTCAAGGACAAACTGAGCTGCAGAAGCTAACTTCCCCGACTGCTCCTGACCCCATCCTCCTCCTCCATGGTCTGCTCATCACGCCCTCGAGGAGGGAACTCTCTGTTTCCAGCGAAATCTCCGAGGGAACGGAAGAGGGAGCCAAGGACAAAGGGTGGGGGAGAGCCGAGTAGCCCGGCTCGGCCGAGCTTAGTCGAGTTTAGTCGCAGATACCCAAGGGAAGGCACCGGTGCGCTCGGAGGACCAATAGCCAGCATGCTGGTTGTCAACGCTATTGGTGACCCGCGGTGACCGTGCCGGGTCGGGGCCAGAAGCAACAACATCCGCTGGAGCTGAGACTCGGGTTATGCGCACTCCCGGGGACAACCTGACTTCACAACACCAAATGAACCTTTTCTTGTTTTGAAGCCATTACTTTTAATTTTTCTGTAGCACGATGTGAGGAGACTCCTGAAACAATATCCTTCAACATATCGAACCTTTGCTCGTGTTGCCTCAAACATTACTGAAGCGGCAGGTTCTTGGATTAGCCGCCCTCTTCTATCAAACTGATGGCCAGCTTCGCTTTTCTCCTCCAGAAATTGTCCCTGATTGTCATAAGGTAATATATGCGATATACTCTGCTGTTCCTGTTGTATAATATATTAGATACAGATCTTTGTATGCTGGGGATGCATATAACCCCGCCCAATTTGTAAAACTGGGCTATGTTTTCTATATTTGATGTTACATCAACTGTTTGTGCATACATTGAAAATGGCATCTTTTCGTTTTGGCACAAAACTTTTCCACAATATCTCTTCTTGCTCATGATTTCTTCAATTTTAGCACTCACATCCTTCTGCAAATCAGTAAATCTGTACAACGGTTTTGCAGATAGCAGGACCAACATGGATTCCTCGATTCTATAACTTTCTTTGATTCTTCCCATGTCATCTTTCATCTGTTTGACTACCAACAATCTCTATCATAGGCCTCACTGAGATCAAATCATCAGATGGGTCAAAAGCACTTGTCGGGTCCATCAGCAACCGGAGACATTTCATCCAGCCTTCACTTGTGCTGGAAATATAACTAAACAGGCGTGAAATTAGTGGAAGATGTAATATTTGTACAAAGTATTTGTACTAAAATATTACACAATAGTAATACCGCTGCACACTTATGTCAACATTGCTTACAGTTGCACAATGCTAGTACCCTTATCACAATGGTTTTGGCCTAGCATGACTCGAAATATTAGTGTCATCACACTGTCATGGATTTTGGTTCTTTTAGCAAGTAATACACATGGATATATCTCTACTCCTGTGAAATACAATTTATATTCCTAAGTCATGAAAGATTAAGTATGGCCCGACAAGTGCATGATTGCTGCTGATTTTGGAGAAAATGCCTGCTTTGTCAGTAAAATGATATGTAGATGTTGCAATAAGTTTTAGACTGCGTAATTCCTACTGCCAATCGATTCTAGCCCTACATAGGTGCTGTCAACGTGGCTGGAATTAATAAACAAATGTAAAAAGGCGAGTTTTCGCTGTCTTGGGTGATCCATGATTTTGGCTTGAAATTGCGGAGGTAGCTGTTTTCGATGTGTCATGATGTAAAACCTCATTTTATAGCTCATTTTGTAGCCCTCGTTGGATCCTTACACAAGTATTTTACGTGGTGAAATCTAACTTGGAGAGAGGGAGTGGTTTCGCTTTCGTTTCATCCCTTTCCTTTTTATACAGTAATAGGGTAGGGTCTATATACCCATATGTCTTTCTAACACTGTTTCTAAGGGAGACACGCCTCCTATGATATTTTCATTTTTACGTGTCGGAAAAATTATCAAAAACATTTCTGAAATATTATGTGTGATCATCTATTTCCTGATATCAGTGGCTTTTTGCTCGATAACTTGACATAACTTGATGATGGTGCAAAGAAGAGCTACCGAGACCATCAGGAACGTCCTTCCTGAACAATGTCACGGGAGAAATGCACCAAACACTTGGTGTAACCATATCATCACGCTCCTAGAAGGTTCTCAGGAATCCCTCCCATGCTCCATGCTGTTGCACAACCCCACCTAGGAATCTATCAAAAGTAAATGGGTTGTCTTCCCTTGGGAGGTATTTTACTGCAGCCTCACTCACTTTTAAAAGGAACTAGTCAAAGGGCTAGGAAGGACAAAAGGCCCCGGAAGTGCCTAGTCAAAAGGGCTGATGGAAAATGTCAAAAGGGCCGAGGTGAAAGTCAAAGGGCCATGGACAAAAAGTCAAAAGGGCCGAGGTGAAAGTCAAATGGGCGAACAGAAAAAAAAAGTTTAGAAAGGTTTTTACATTATTTATTGACACATATAGCATAATATCAGCATAACATTAATAAAGCATGTAGCCAAGTTTTCATGTAATGGCAATACATATATCTAATCAACACAAGTTCACATATTATGGAAAAATAATATTATGGCAATTTACACAAGTTCATTCGTTCATAATTCACACAAGTTCATTCGTTCATTTTTTTTTATATTTTTTTAAAATATTTTTATTTCCCAGAGTACATTTGTTGTTGTGGTACAAAGGCATCATATACAACACATCCTCGTCATCAGGCGTTGATGCGAAAACATCACCATCAGTACAATCAATCAATACACATCAATACAAAAAGCAATCATCATTATGTTCAGGGTAAATTGCTATAATGTATCTGTTATCCTTAACAAAGGCTAATATGTATACCAATTAATTGTATTCAAATGCACTTATCAAATTTTTATTGTACTTATATGACATCTAGGTTGGTATAATTGGCAAAAAAGTGTATGGAAGAAAGACCAGAAGGCATAGAATTTTGATGGGTTTGCATTTGAAAATGCTGTATATTTGGTAGCTTTGTAATAATTGAGTATTTCCCTTTGAAGCACTGTAAAACTGGCTTTATATTATTTCGGCTTGTTTTATATAGCATGTATTTCACTATTAGAAACACCAGATTAAGTGGGTTGTTGTTTTTACCTTTGAAACCAAAGATAATATTTTCATGCGATAAATCAATATTTCCTTCAGACAGTATATCCAGCCAATCGGATACCTCCCTCCATACTTTCACGGTATATCGACATTCACACAATAAATGAATAATTGTTTCAGGAGCAGATTCACAGAATGTGCACATTGAAGAGTCTGTATTTCATCAAATGTAACTTATGTTTAGTCGTTTAAAATATTGTATGCGTAATCTTGAAATGAAACCATCTTTAACTGTGCGGCTTTCTGTACATCTATTTGCCATTAAATATATATTAGACCAGTCTTCTTTGTTATATTGTTTATTGAGGATGTGTTCCCATTTTTTTTTGGCGGCTTGTTGGTCCAGTTTCAACTGGAGGTATAAGTATATTATAAAAGGATTTACTCCTTTGGTTTTGTCATGCAGATACAAGATATATTAAAAGGTAATGTTGGGTGTTTAACCTGATAGGTCCAAGCTGTATCGGGTATTTTTTTCTGAGTCTGCAATATGCTAAGACAGTACACTTTATACCTTCTAGATGGAGGAAGTTTATGTTTGCAATTCCATATTTTTTTCCATATCAACTTTATGTAAGAAGTTTCCATTCTGATCTAGGATATCACATACTAACATTATTCCTTTTTGCCATATTTTCATAGTAGATTGACTTTCCCTCTATTTTAATGTTATTATTAAACCATAGAGACTGGTTGAAAATATCTGATATTTCTTGCACATTTGTGTAACACCTTTTTAAGTACTGGCACCATGCCATTAACACGTCCTCAAAATTGATTTGAGACACTGGGAATAATATTATTGCAATACATATTGTGCATCAGCATACCATAATTTATTTTTGCAATGTCTAGGATTTCATTTGCAATAGATGTACATTTTGAACTGTTGAGCAGCAACCCGCTTAATCCACATTATTTTTAGCAAATTATAGTATTTCTTACAATGGGTACACTTATTCCTCCATCCTTTGGTTTAAGATACATAATTTCTCGCTTTACCTTATCTGTTTTTCCTTGCCACACAAAGTTAAAACACTTTTTGGAACTTTGTAATGTGTCTTCAGATGGACTCCGGGATGGATGAAAATAGATGGTTTAACTTTGGTAAAAGCAAGGATTTTAAAATAACATTTTTGCCCATTGGTGTCAAATATCTCAGAGACCAAATATTCATTTCTTGGTAGATTTTTCCAAATTTATCATTATAATTTAGGTCTACAATGTTATTTAATTCAACATCAAAAACTATTCCTAAAAGTTTAAAATTTGATTGTGTCCAATCCAGATTCCATTCCTTGCACATCTTATACCTGGATCGTTTTTTTTGACCCTATCCATATTAGCCTGGTTTTTCTCGTTAACTTTTAACCCTGGAAAATCTTGCAAAGAAAGCTAATGTGTTCAAACTGCATACAAACTTGATTCAGATCCGTCTAAGGTCACTGTAGTGTCGTCTGCAAATTGGGCTAAAAGGCTTTGTATATTACCTATCTTTATCCCTTTAATTTTCTTATTTTTCTTATTTAGAATAGCTAGTATTTCAAGCACATAGGATAAAATGTAAGGTGATATATTGGGTCTCCTTTGTCGGCATCCCCTAGTTATCTTGAAAAATTCACTGCGAAAACCCATTTACTAATACAGCTTGATTCACTGTCGCTTAGCAATACTTGTATCCAATTTCTGAATACATGGTCCAAAGTTGAAAAAATCCATTACATTTTGCATAAATTTTCTGTCAACCGAGTCAAAAGCTTTTTCAAAATCAATAAGCAGTAAAAGTCAAAGGGCCGAGGTGAAAGTCAAATGGGCCTAACAGAAAAAAAGTTTAGAAAGGTTTTACATTATTTATTGACACATATAGCATAATATCAGCATAACATTAATAAAGCATGTAGCCAAGTTTTCATGTAATGGCAATACATATATCTAATCAACACAAGTTCACATATTATGGAAAAATAATATTATGGCAATTTACACAAGTTCATTCGTTCATAATTCACACAAGTTCATTCGTTCATAATTCACACAACTTCATAATTCACACAACTTCATAATTGACACACTGTTCTTTCGTTCATTCAAACATTCATTTTGCAATCCATATAATAATGGCAGACTTAAACAGGTCTTGCGTTGCAGTCCTCTTCACCTATAACAAGGTTGATTGATCCAATTAAGAATCAATTCAATTCGTTTACATCTACCAATTAACAATTAAGGATGTTCAATTTACAATTTAACTAATCCTAATTAGGAATCAATCAATAGAAAGTACTACTCACCTGAGCTCTTACTAGACTGAAACAATTTTGCCTGCCTCTGCTGTGTGGCTCCATTGATCTGTTATGTCATTAAAATTAGTGTTATTAAAATACATAAATTTGAAAATATATAATATATATAATTGTTTGATCGGCATTAAGTTACTGTAAAGCGTATTTATTTTCGTGGTGCAATTTTCGCTGAATGGACAGTTTAGACTACATCACGCGGTCAATTATTCAAGCAATCAGTAATTGCCGGAACTGCCAGCTGTCTCTTTGGCCGCCACTAATAGCAGTGAAAACAAACAGAGTAGCTTAACCTGTCAGGGCGGTGTTTATTGTGTACTCACAGGAAATCCCTATCTGTGCGATATACTAGTACACAGTAATCCGTTTACTCACGGAAGAGATGAAAAACACATCAGTCTTATGTTCGAATTCTGACGATCTGACCGAATTAACTTCTACTGTATATGAAGCTCTTTGTGATTTCAAACAAGCCGGGTTGTTGTGAATGAGATGATTGAGTGTTAAGTGACTATTTGCTTCATGATGTACTGGTAAATAAAATCTTAATGAATAAATAAAATACTGCTGTATTATTTCTTTCCGAAGTCGCTTCATGGTAATCTGTTTTGTATCAAACCATCTGTCACTTCTCACGATTGGTCATGTGTCCAATTTCCATGGCGACCACAACACACATTGCTGTTTTCGCTAATTAGGCGATGGGATTTGGCTCATTATTTAATTATGTTTTGGGAAATCCATTACAGCGACAGTTAAGTATGATTCTTTATGCTACTATCAGTCGTCATTTTAAGATTCCCGTAGACTTTTGTCTTCAAACTTGATGTGTTCTGGTAACAACTCAGGGGCGAAATGTGGCTAGACTGAATGAATGACAGGTTTGTTCAATGTGTATAAATTTTCACGCTTAAAATGTTTTATGCCGAAATAAAACCTCTTGTGCCAAATATAATACGCTTTACAGTATATGTTATACATTATGATGTTAAATATACTTACACTTCCTGAACTTCAAGAATGTCATCGAAAGCAACTGATTGAGCATCTATTGAAGAATCCAACTGGCGAAAGTGAAGTTGGGAATAGTTGTCTTGCATAAAATGACACAAGAAATTAAATTCTTCTCCACTCGCCCTTTTGTCCTTCGCCCTTTGACTACAACCCATTTAAAATACCCTCTCAAAAGCAGTTATCTCCCTTCAATTGCAACTGTTGCTATTTCTTCAAAGTCTTCTTCACCTAACTCTAACCTGACCCGACTTGTGCTCTACAATATAAAAATATAATTTGTATTAAGTGTTACACAAACATTTGAAAAGATAATGGATAATGGACTTGAGACATACTAAAAATATCAAAAACTCATTATGAACAGAACATCATTTACAAAAGTAGCGAAGATGAAAATTGTGCTGTATATGTCAGGACATAGCAAACTGCGCTTGTTGGTAACCCTAATCCAGTCACAAAGAATGCCAATATGCCAATTAGTTGACTGCAGCCTGAAAGCAAGACAGCTCATACCAGTGGCAAGTATTTTAGATTGCTTAGGACACTTTCGGGATGTTAAAATTCCACTATCGTCCACTTGATGAGTTTTCTGAAGATGGTGGATTATGCTGGTCATGAGAGTGATATATTGTTACTGATTGCAAGTGAATTGCATTGAGGGCGTGTACACTGTCATACATGAGATTTGAACAGTTTCCTGCCACTGAATCTTCAAGAAAATCAAACTGCCTTTCAAAACAGTGTTTGCGAAGTCATCTCATCCTCATCCAGTTTGTCAAATAGGAATATTGCAACTGGTTTATCCACTGTTATTTACAACTGTAACATTAACTCACTGACTGCCAGTGATGTTGCAATGAACAGAACAGTGATTTATCTTTTATGACTTAATTTCACAAAGTCAATTACAGTACATGAAGAACTACATTATTCTAATTGCTCTGACTTCTTTATAGCTTTTTTCTTCTTTTTTTTTAAAAATATTTTTATTCATTTCAGTGAAGCATACAAGATGGCATATGAATATAATTTGATGAAACAGTAGACAAGCATGACATATGCATCGAGTACTAAGGTGTAGTCCCGAACCCGACACATGTTACATTTGATTTTCATAAAGTGTAATCACTTGTCAACACTTTTATACAAATATCAATGCAGTTGTGCAATGCTCTTGACTTTGTACTCATTTGTTTCATGCTGTTTTCGCTTTCAGTCATCTTACTATGCATTTACCATTTTAATTAATGTGAAACACCTGCAAATATGAATAAAAACAACAAAACAACCAACTAATAACAAAATTCACCATGCAAACACGCTGCAGTCCAAACATCACTATTAACATTGGTCGTCAGCCCTGTAACCCTTCGGGCCATCGGGGCACCACAGATACAGTCCCATAAATACTCTGTACCTTTGACAATAACTTTTCAAGGGGCTCCAGGATTTTGACCTGGTTGCAAACCATCTACCTCATACCAGCAAACATCATGTGACACCTTACCAGTCTCACCCATAAAAGTATGGATCTTAAGAGGCTGGTTAACTGTTATAGAAGGGCTACGATGATGAAACAGGTGACTCTCTTTAAATCTGAACACTGAAGTTTACACCCAGTCATTTGGGACTTGGATTTCCTCTATTGTGGAGCTCTTTTATCAGCCTATCTTTGAGCTGCACTCGGGAAGAACATCCTGGGTGTTTGTACGCCAGGTTCTGATTGGTTTACAATCTTACATGATCTGTCTTTGTGTAATGGACAACGAAATATTGTATTTTCTCTCTGTTAGTGTGCAGAAGGTATGAGGTGGTTAACTTTGCTGATATTCATCTGATATTCAACAACGATATTTATTCACTTGTTAATACAGAACTCATTACAGGGCAGTGGAGTCCATATAAAAACGTGACGGACGGACAGACTGAAGTCTGAGCTCAAAACACTCAGTAAATCGCATACATGGTTTCTCACACACAAAGCCAAGGGAGCTAACTCTAAATCGTAAAACCTAGTCAGACTGTCGTAAATCGGTTTCAATGACGTTACATCCTTCTTGATCTTGGCAGACCTAATATTGTAGATTGGTTTGTTTGTTTCTTGCCAGATGTCATGAGAATGTCCCATATATAAATTGCCAAACTGAGTGTCAGGTCCAGTCAAGTGGTGATAAACTTGTTTATCATTATATTAGAAACATATTACATACAAATAACAACTATACATGTTTTGCTTGTTTTGAAGCTTAACGCCACACTCAGCAATATTCCAGCTATATGGCATGGTTCCGTAAATAATCAAGTTTGGTCCAGACAATCCAGTGATCAACAGCATGAGCATCAATCTACGAATTAGGATGCGATGATGTGTCAACCAGGTTAGTGATCCTGACCTGTCAATACAGTTAGTCACTACTTATGACAAGCATGGGTTGCTGAAGACCAATTCCAACTTGGATCTTCATGGGTAATATTGTAGTTCAGTCAGACTCTTGTGGTATGGAATTAAAGGTTGAATGACTCATAAGCTTCAAGATGTAAAGGAAGTATATTTGGGGTTTGGGTCTTTGCATGTTATTTTCAACAATATTTTACTTATATACTACCCATCAATTGTTTACACTCACTAGTGTAAATATAGCCACTTTGGGACCGTCCATAATTTATGGGGGTGGGATGATGATTTTATGGAGAAGCATGTACAATGTGAATGACCCCCTAAATTTTATGTACAAAATAAGTGACCCCTGCAAGTTATATACAAGATCAATGACAACCCCTTCCCATAATTTCTAAGCATAATTTTTAAGATACTTTTATGTACAAAATTGATTAAACAAACCCCCACCCCAGTACATGTGTTGGCTGCAAAATTGATGGCCCCCCAGAACAAAATGGGTGTCCCCTTTTAAAATCACCATCGTCCCCAGCCATAAATTATGAACGGTCCCTTACTTCATTGTTCTGAACTAGATTTTTTTAACTATTCCATTCAGTTTTACACTATTTACACATGAACTAATGTATTGTAAAACAAATTCATAACATTGAAAGACTTGTCATGAGTTCAGTAAATGATGAAAATCAGTGAAAATTGGCAAATTCTTAACAAAACTTTACACCAAAACGCGGCTGTTCACATGAACGATATTTGCACATGCTGTTTAGCAATTTGAAACATGATCCTCGTTACAATTCATCTGCATAAAGTTTGCAGTTGGTTCCCCAAGTTAGTGGAGAAATTCATCTTCGATGTAACCACATATATATACATAAAATATAGTGAGTGCTTTAGGTGAGTCTAAACTTTTGATGAGTAGTATATTATGGTAGTCTAAAATTATCTTCTGTATTGGGATACAAGGACATGCATTAAGCAAATTCGCATAGTCCACCTGTCCATCAAGTCAATCTTTTCTTCTACGACAAGGTGGGCGGTGGGGGTAGCCTAGTGGTTAAAGCGTTGGCTCGTCCACCAAAGACCCGGTTCGAATCCCACATGGGTAAAATGTGTGAAGCTTCTTTGGTATCAGGAAGTTTCATAATGCTGTACTGTGGCATAACTGAGAGACTACACAAGTAATGCTGTTACCAGGATGTCTTACACTCTTGCTGAGGTAGACATTCTGAGTTTAGGG